TTAGTCCATCACTTGATCTGGATGGCATTAAGATGGCCGCTGATAATAAAGTAAAACTCTTTTATTTTTGATCAGGACATGGAATTTAAATCTTATATTAGACAGGTTTCTATGAATTTTTTTTCTTCATAATGGTGGTTTACTAGAAGTAGAATTTTAGAATTTCAGATTTTTTTAGTTACCTCAGCTTTACCCTTTAACTAAATCAATAAAAAAAATCTCAACTAAGCATCATGTCTGAGCTGGACTCGTGTCTGGTGCAGCTGAACCAGATGTTTCCTGTCTGAAAAATCTGAAGGACGACTCTTCTATGTGTCCGCCCCTGTGGCCAGTGATACAACCAACAACTGACTTCAAACCAGCCCTGCTTCCAAAAGGAACCACAGCTCTCAGGGTGCCAGGGAGCAGGGTAGGACTGGGATCTAAGTGCTAATGCACAAACCCTGAACCCAGGTTTGAACCCAGGCTCGGCCTTCACCAAGTCAACACAACAATGCTTTGGATTATGCCATTAACCGGCATCCAATTTGCGTAGCACTGAGAAATAGTTTGTATGATGAGGTCATCAGACTTACAGTTCCACTAGGTTTTTGCTAATTGCTGCTGTGGCTAGTCTAAAGGAGCTGTATTAGGGAAGCGTGGGGGTGGGATGCTCTGAGAAGCAAATGATTAGCTTGAGACTACAACAGCTCTGAGGAGGAGCTGTAGTCTCCTCCTCAGAGCTCCCAGTTTGCTTGCTCCCTAAGCAACAGCTTGTGGGAGCAAGCAAATGGAGATTGAAGGATCATCGAATCCCAGGTCTGCTTTTGATGCAGGGGAACATTTTAACATTATATAAATCTCAAAAAAGTTGATTTTTATATAATTACCCCCACTGTAAACTAAATTATATGGATAAATGGTGTAAATCTTAGAGTCCAGATGTTTATTGGCAATAAAGTTGTTTCCTTGTACATCAAGCATGCTTGAGTCTTCACTCCACAAGATCTTTGCCTCTCTAAACAACTTGGGAGGTGGTGAAGTCGTGCCAGAAACTTTTGAATTTCAATGTCTAGCAAAGGTGGTAAACATAATCCATCTGGCCATATTAATATAACAAGGATTCAACCTTTTCTCCAATTCTTCCCTCTCTGCATTTCTTCTCCAACTCTGAGACACGTTCTGTCTGCAGTCAATGCTTGAGTGACATCATTATGCAGCCAAGTCCCAGACTCTGCCTGAGGCAATTCACAGTTAGTCTATAACGTCTGGATGTGCAGTCTGCAAAGAAGGACAGAAATGGACAGTGATTGATCCGTATGACACTCTGCAGCCGGTGTTGATTCTTCAGGATTCTTCCAATATTGATTCATCACTTCAGTCGTTATACATGTTTTGATCAAACTTCATTTTATTGTAACTATGATGTTCATGAATAATAAACGTTAAACACTAGAGATCTTGAACATTAATTACTGGAGGTTTTGTGACGTGTAAGTCAGCATGCAAGTAAGACGTTTGTTCATGTTTGTTCAAAATGTTTGTTCACTATTAAAGTACATGTTCTTTTGTTCCACATTTCTTTTCTTCTAAAATCAAGAAGTAACTATAAATTTATATTTATAAAATATGAATATAAATATAAATATATTCCTCTATATTTTGTAACCGATGTTTGTAAAATACTAGCCCCTATTAGTCAAGAGCCCAGTTTTAAATTTTGCTCAATTGCTAACATTTGTCTATGACATAATGATGCACCAGTTCAAGCTTAACACACATGGCCTGCTCTTTAAAAAAAACATAATCCACTTCAAAGAGAGAAAAGCCGAGCTGAACAGATGGATGCTAATTCAATATTCAATATTTGCGTGACCAACATAGACTGACCAGCTTCATTTACTTTCTCCACTGTCATTGTTAAAACAGGCAGGCTACAATTCTAAAATATCGCTGAAAATCAATGTCATCATTCACCACTCTTTCTGTTCTGATTGGTCCAGTCAAAAATCAACTGGAGACAATCCAAGTAAAAGGGAGAAATCTCAGACTGTGATGGAAGCAAGACTTTTTTTGAGAGGAATTGCACAGGAAGGCAATGGCCAGGCTACCAAAATACATAGAAAAGAAACCACTGAATGTCACATGATCAATAAACCCTTCCCAGACCTGCTATTGCTGCTTGGCAGAACAAACTGTTAGTCAGCTGACAGGTGGGCGTTGGTGTTTGTTTGGCATCAGTTTGGCTCCTGCTGTGGCTGCTGGATGAAGAATTGGCATTGTAAACAGAACTGAGCAGCAATGGCTCTTCAAAATCCATTACAACATGTAGCCATATCTTTGACTTTGTTTTTGTTTGTATGTTTGTAGCAGTATTTGACTAAGTTTAGCTATTTAAAATCTTTTGTTTTGTCTCCTAGATAAATCTGAGGTTTTGAAAAGAAAGAAAACCACAAAACACTCTGAAACAAAGTCTGGAACAGACATATGAACTGAAAACTGGGACTGCAGATGAACTGCTCTGAACATTTATTATTTTGAATTATTTAATCAAATATCTTTGTTAATGTGCAAACTTGCCGAATCAGGGGTCGAGTTATTATTTCCCTCAACCTCTGTCTCTACTCCAATAATCATAGACATTCTTTGGATTTAAGCTTTAAATTCAAATTCAATTCATTTCAATTCAAAAATACTTTATTCGTACAAAAGGGAAATTAAATGTTGTTGTAACTTTTTTAATTAAATATGTATTAAGTGCCACTAAATTAGCAGAAATTGTAGTTATTTCTAAATTGGAATGGAAAATACTGTATTTGTGTATTTTTGTGGAAAGGTTGAATAAATCTCAACAAAGTATTATACTGTATCCTCAAATAATAAAAAAAAATATTATTTTTATTTGGATAATTTTCAATTTAACTGAAAACAAAATATTTTTATTTACTTGTGATGGTCTTACTTTTTTTTTAACTTATTAATAGACAACCAGTTATTTCACTATTGTGGGATGGTGCAGTCACAGGTTCTGCAGGTTATTGAGCTTTAAAAACTCAAGCAATAGCATCTGTTTTGTTCTGTTCTGTCCTTTGTAAATATATTATCTCATGAAAATGCAAATATTGAGTTACAAGAATTGGTGACCATAAATACTCTGAAAGTGTTTGAACCCCTCAGCTGTCTTGTTAGCTCTGTTTAGTCTCCACACCTCTTGAAAATCATCTAAGTGTGTCTAGTTGAAATATTCATGTTGGTTCTTATTTTCTGAAAGACAACATATTTATAATCCATGTGTATCCTGTAGTTTTTTTTTTAGTGAGATCAGACACAGCAATCTTGTTTCTGCTGAAGAGAACAAATGCTTTATGAAGTACTTATAGTGAGTTAGTTGAATTGTCAACAAGTAAAAGATACCTTCAAACATTAAACCTGGAGCAAATAAGATGACAATTATAAGATGTTAAGATGTAACGGCTAAGGTCAGGTTTATCAGCTGTTCACTACTGTCTGTCGTCTTTGCTGGTCTCTTCTGGTAGCAAAATATTAAACATTCAGCAATTGCCTCACTGATATGATAATATTACAGCAGTTTTAAGCATGTACCACACACACGGTTATCTGTGTGTGTGGTACATCCCAGGGATAAACGTGAGGCTGTTGCCCAGTGGTCACCGAGAGAGGAAGTCACCATGGACAGGTTTCCAGTCCATCACTGGATAGTTATTTTAAAAAAACCATTTCAGCAAATTTGATCTATTTTTTACCTAAGGATATGTTTTCTGCCAAATTTACTTTATTTATATATAATCAAAATCACTTTTTTCAGAATAAAACTTCTTTCTCCTTTTTTTTCTAAATTGAAACCTTAGACTAATTGTAGAGTCATTAACTCAACTGAAATGGCATATGTTATTATTATTGTTAGTTTTGAGGAATTGTGTTGCCCATAGTAACTCCGGAGAGCCACAGTTGATCATGGGTGTATTTTACTGTTTTTATACAAATATGACCACATGGTGGCAGAGCTGTGTCAGTTTGTGAAGCTTGTGCCATAATTCTCAGATGAGGATAAGTCAATCCTAAGCATTGTGCATTCATTCCATCATGTACTAAAGAAGAAAAGCGAGGGCAAACAGAAAGGAAAAGATAAGCATTCAATGACAACACCTGGACAAGAAAGGAACATCTTAGTTCAAACAAGTGAGAAAAATATAAAAATACAAATAAGAGGGATATTAAAAAAGTGGAAAAATAAATGCTATTTTTAATGGGGACTGTTATATTTTAAGCTTTTCAGTTCCCACTGAGATTCTTTTGTTAATTCTGCATCTTCGATGATCAAGTTGAAAGAACAAGGACGAGTCTGTAAACGATGGAGGGGTGTCTGCAGAGAGGGATCGGAGAGAGAGAGGGAGCAAAGAGTGGATAAAACCGAACAGCAGCTCTGGCTCAGTCACAACTCCTCAGTGCCAGACAAAGGCAGCAGCCCAAAACCCACACACACATTTAAAGAAAAAACCCAGACTGTTTCCGGAAGAATCTCCTGCATTCTGAGCTGAGTTTTGGATGCTCTGACTTGCCTTTACCTCTGGAGCTGATTGTGTATCAGGATTTATTCTCTAACTTGGGACCGTTGATGGACTTCAGCAGTGGGAAAAATCTCCATTGGATTTCCTTTCCTGTCTTGTGGCTGCACACAATGCTTCACTCGTAGTTCAGTGAGGCATAGCTACCTGCTGGTTTTAGGATGACTGCTACCAACACTTTAATGCTGCAGAGTTTCTTGTAATTGTGTGAATGTGTGTGTATCAGGATGACTGTTCCAATGCTCAAGATTGGTGCTGTGCTCAGCACCATGGCTATGGTAACTAACTGGATGTCCCAGACTTTGCCATCGCTCGTTGGACTCAATGGAACCATCATCTCCCCTGATGGCACACACGAACGGATCATCAGTGTATGTATCCCTTGTTTTTCTAAATAACATATTCAATGATATTTTATCAACTAAAGTGATGAACCTTGATGAATCTTTTAAGAAATAATTTACCTTCTAACTTCTAACTAATGTGCAAAAGATTTTTTTGGGCGACTTCTTTCTTTTATGTCTTTTGAAATTTCTCAGTGATGGATCAAATGCTTTCTCCTTCTGTTTCCTCCATGCAAATACTTGCATAAGTTCTCTGTGGCGGCATGCTTTGTTCTTACTGAGGCAAATGTCTGCCTTTTAAATGGGGAGGAAAAACCCAAAAGGAAATCTAGTTTCATATCTGAAAGTATTTATTCTGGACGCACATTTTCTTTTTTTTTTGTAAGAGGAAAAAATAGATTCTAACAAAAACTAAAATGCAAAGCAGAATCAGAAACCCTATTCAGAAATTTAAAAAGCTTTAAGAGATGTAAATTAGCAAACTAGATAGTGCAAATGAGTAAATATGTCTCCTCCTGGACCATATGCAAATTATGAAGCCACTGATTCACAAATAAAATTAAATGGCTTAGTAGGATTGCTCTGTCTCAGACTTGCTAGTGTGTTATTTCTCCTGTGAAGGGAGAAAAGGGGAAGGAATGTGACTCACCCATGGGACAACCAGCGGATTGGTTACCCTGGCAACACCCTGGCAGCCCTAATGTGTAGATGCTGGTCCACTGCACACATGGGAGTCTTACTTAATGGTAGTCTTACTGTGCATATTCATCACTTTTTCTCCGTGGTCGAGCTTTTCCTCATCTGTTTACAGAATCACAAACTCAAGATGTGCTACATTTAAGGTGGACATCAAGTGTGGATGTAGAGCTTCTTGTGTGTATTTGTCTCCAAAAATAAATGTGGATGAATAGGATGTCTTTAGAAGTGATGAATACACAACTGAGTGTGTTTTCGTGTTCGGAGCCTTTGACTTGGCTCTTCTTCGTCTGCTGCATGGCAGCACTTTGCAAGTTCAGCAAAGTACAAGCGGTCTTGTGAAAGCGGACGCCCACACACCAACAGATGGAGACATTATGGCTGCGAAGCAGGTTGAGAGTGTATTTGTTCAAGGTTTATTGACAGAAACCAAAAGTTGTTGTGTTCTCTGCAAACCTGAATTTGTAATTTTTTATACTTGACTGCACATGGAGAGCAGTTATACTAGTTCTATGCAAATGTAAGGAATATATTTTAAGCTGGATGTGAAGTCAAAGAATTGCTTATGTAAACATGAAAGTTATCAAGATTGAGTTTGCATGGCAGTTAAAGAAAAGTCATTATTTCAAGCATGCTGTCTGAGCATTTTTTTAAATCACATTTTGTTCATTCAATATTATTACAATTTGACTAAATCTATTATTTTCAGTGAATTTTGAAAGAACATTTTCCTTTCAGTCTTTATTGTACTGCTGAATCTCAGTACAAAATAATTTTTAATCAATCACATTTTATAGATCCCACAGGGACATTACATTAACATTTCTGTAATTCAGTTAATAAATTCAGCCTCTTATATATTTATTGGACACAATCATACTTGATTGATTATTTTTTGTTGATTTTACAGGTAATAAAATTCAGCCAATAAAATTCCTGTAAGTCAGTTTCTCAGACAGGTGGATTTATACATGACAGAATATTACATGATTACCCAGTTATTGGTTTCGTTAGAGAAAAAACTTTTGAAACGTATTTGAATAATGAGCCAAACTTAATGCTGGTGCCTATCTCCAGCTGTCCAACAGGCCAGAGGCGGGGTACACCCTGGACAGGTCGCCAGTCCATCACAAGGGATAATAATTTTAAAAATTCTATTTCTTAAAATGTATAAAAGGTAAATTAATAATTTTAATTGCATGATATCAGTAACATGTTTTTTGGGGGAATACCTGTAATATGAAATGATGAAAACTTTTAATAACAAAGATATTGCAAAAAAACAAAAAACAAAAAAAGACCTCACTGGGTCAAAGAAGACCCACTTGCACAGCAATGCTGGTGTTAAGAGGATCCTCCTCACCCACAGTTCAAAACAGATCAAGCAGATGGTTCAGAACCAGGTTCTAAATGTGACTGATGTGTGTCTAACTTCTGGAAAAATACTTACTGTCTTTATTAAACCTATCAAAAACACTTTTATTAATTTATTTGTTCACGAGTATTCTCGTAAAATCTCAGATTTTTACATGTATGAGTTGGAAAAGAGGACAAATACAAAACTTTAATTTATGTAATTACAAATTTAGATATTTACAAATTTAGATGTCTACCCATGCATTTTTAAATGACAGTAATCATTCCAAATACATAACTGCTTGTGTTTCCATAGCAACTAAAACAAACAAGAACCTGATACAGGTTGTTTGACATCATCATGTTGATGAGAACCTCTATGTTCTCATCAATGATGTCATAACAGTTCAAAGAGATACAAGAATACAAGAATTCTCAGTTTGCTTCTCAACTTGGTTGGAGGTAGATCGATTCCAGAGAGACGACTTCAAACTGATTTTACAAACCATTTTAACTGTTCACCAAGTCAAGAGGATTTTTGATATTGATGGGACCTTGGATTTCTTGTTACGACGGGAGTTGAAAAGTTGTTAGGATAGAGCATAAGAGGCAAAGACGTTTTAGTAGAGAGCTCTGAGGATGAGAGATCAAAATACTTTGGTTTGGACATTGAACCGTGAAGCCCAAAAGGACATGGAAGATTCCTTTAAAGATGAGGAAGTTCACTTTGAAAACACAAATGATGGAAATGTGTGGATACATTTTGAAGAAATCAGCTAACTCTTTGCCAACACAGACATTACAAAAAAGTGTCTTTACCAGTCTTCCCAAAAACATAAAGGGCCTGGATGTGAAACCAAGCTTTGACAGCAAGGAAATTGTGACAAATTTTGAAGAAATCTTTGAGGATTCATCATTAGAAGAATCCTCTTCAGCAGAAGAAAACTCACAAGATGAAATTCAAAATGACAGATAATTTCGGCAATGTGGATGTTCATGAGCCGACCATGTAGTTTGGTAGATTTCCCAACTCATTCTTCAACTGTTGGATACAACACATATCATTATGAATTTGAGTATTACCAGAAGGTTTGTAGCTCAGTATCTGGACTTTTTGCAGAAATGCCATTGTTTGAAAGGTTTTTCTTTACAGCAATGCAACATTCAGGAAGATATTTTCCCCCAGATGAAGTTTTTGCAGTTCAGAATGAAATAATTGAAACACTGAAGATGAAGGATGTAGTACATCGGGAGAAGCCAGGAGTATTTTTGTTTTTTGTGTCAGACTATCTGACCCAATTTGGCATTAACACAGACTGTGAGCTGTACACAGCTGACTATTGTGGACAATGTCAGAAGTCTTCATGTATTATTTGTAAAGTTGGTCCTGTCATTCCTCTAGCAAAGGAACAATGAGACACTACAACTACTCTTCTAAACTATTAAATGTGTGGAATTGCAAACTGTTGTGATACCTTCAACTCCAACATAAAGACAAAATGCTTTTTAAATGACACTGATGTGATGATACTGATTGTCCCATGGTCATACAGTCCAGATGATTTAAGATATCCTGTGATTCCTGACCCAGTCTTTGAAATTCCTGTAAAAACTGTAATTCAGTTGTGCCATCTGTCCTCAGTCATTTTCTGGTGACAAGCAGCGACTTTTCAAACTAACAGCCTTTACACATATCTGATGTGTGGACAACTGGTGTTTAAGGCTGAGGATGACCGGGTATCACTTTCAAATATCGACCATAGCTGTACATCTACAGCTATGAAAAGACCACAGAAGGACAGGACAAATTTAAATGTTGGGCTCAAAGTGACCACTGACCAACTACAAAGATAGTGCTTCAGACACATTTTGGAGGAAGTAGGTGGAACATGGCCCGCACAGAGTCGGCCATGTTCCCCTCCTCCATCATTGAGGCGGCTTATCAAAGTTATGGCCACAAGGTTGTCAGTGTCTGTTTTGGGGGGCAACCCCAGAATCAGCTCATGGGCACCAGAAGGGAGGGATACTGTCAAGATGAAGATAGTGACCTATCGGATGTTTTTGGCCTGTGGGACCAGAAGCAGCTGATGGGAACAGACAATCTGACAAAGAGAGAGTTTACCAGGACTCGACAGCAAGCAACAACTACGGACACACAAAGCAGTTAAACAGATTTATTGAAAGTGCGAAGTGTAACATTTAAGTAACCAGCCAGAACCCAATACGCAGTCAAGACAAGAGGTCAATAGTCAAATATTTATTTAAAAATAAATTGATGATGTTGGAGGGGTTCCACAGGGTGTGGTTGCAGTGTTAGGTCTGGAACACAAAAACAGAAGTGAGAGTCATGACTGGATGAAAAGAACAGAGAAAACACAAAAAGAGATTTATCAGGTATGGGGATCCACAGGGGTCAAGAGTCCAGCCTTGGGAGGTTTGAGAGAGTGGAAACTCGAAGGGCTTATGGTCTTAGGGGGATTCACTAACGACAGACAAATATCCACCAACCAGGTCTCAGGAGTCAAAACGGTGCAGGGTCAGGCAGAGGAGGGTCTCAGGCAAGGAAAATCCAATATTCAGTTTGCTAGAGGCAGGCAAGGTTCAGCAACAGGGGGTCAGAAACTCTTCTCAAAGCTGAAAGGGGCTAGGCAAACAGTGGTCAAAAACAGGCAGGATCTGAAACGAGGAACTTCTTGGACTTGAAACAAGGCTGTGACTGGGGCAACAGACGATCTCACACTGAGCAGGTAATGAGCAGCTGTTTAAATAGGGATCAGCACAGTACGGGTGAGGGCAATGAGTAATCAGCCTGAGGGAGGGAGAGTAAGCAGCACAATGAAGGTACAGTTGAAATCATTACATCAAAGTGTAATGGAGAGAGACTGTAGAGGTTTTGATCTGAGGTAGCAGAGAGAGACCAGACCAGAGGAGGAACTGAGAAAGAGATGAGTGGTTAGACTGGGGAGTAAACGTGG